AACAGGAGTGTTTCGCATGTTCGTGCTGGAATGTCCACTTAGGGCAATGTTCATCGTGAATTATTTCCCCCGGAAAATCAGTTGTGTTGAGGGGGGGGGGTGGTCCCCTGTGTGTCTGTGACTCGGTCTCCAGCTCTCCTGGCTGTGAGCTGGCATGTATTATACACATGGAAGCGGAGTGGGGACACACTACTGAAAGAAATGAGAACGAAAGTCCTGGAAACGGAAGGGAAAGCCAAGTTTCCCCTTCTTCCACCTTGGGGTGTCTTAGAGAAAAATGAGAGTCTTAATTGACTTTTTGGGTTTGTTGGTTTGTTTGTTAATCCTCACCAAGAATATTTTCCCCATTGATTTTTACAGAGAGTGGAAGGGAGGGAAGGGGAGAGAGAGAGGGAAGGAGAGAGAGAAACGTCAATGTAAGAGAGACACATGGATTGATTGCCTCCCCCATGAGCCCCAACCAGGGCTGGGGATTGAACCTGCAACCCAGGTACATGCCCTTGACCAGGAACCAAACCCTGGACCCTTTGGTGTGAGGGCTGGGGCTCTATCCACTGAGCAACACCGGCAGGCTTAATTGACTTTTATTGCCTAGTTGGCCAATCATACACAAGCAGCTATGTGTCCTGGGCCATTATATTCAATGGGCTTTTCAAGTACCTATGAAAATGTTTGAGACTGAAACAATTTTATTGGCCCCAAATTACAAAAAGTACAGTGCAAATTTGAACTTTATAAATGTTCAAAGAAAGGTCCCCATAACGTAACATGTCAACTTCATACTTGTGATTTATTTACGGATAAACATTTCATTATAACCACGTGTAAGTTGGAAATCACTTAGTAAGAATTTCCTCATACATGATTTCTGGGAAGTCACAGCAATTATAAATTAACTAAGTTCCTGTCACCAAATAAGTTCATATGAAAACTGTTGTTTTTTTTTAAAGGTCAAAGTTTTAAGAGTATTTAGATCATGTGGGAGTATTTTACTATATTTGTTATGATGTGGGATGAGCTTCCAGAACTCAGAGTGCCTAGGATGAAAGAAGTTCTTAAAATAGCCTGCTGTGTATGTGTATACTCGTATCTTGTCACGAATGTGCCCCTTCAGCCTACCCAGATTTACATCCCTACAGATGTCCCTGCCCGGGGATGAGTGCTCAGGTTTCCACTCAACACTCCACTTAGGTAAAGATAGGAGCAAAGCACACAGAAGCAGTCAGCCGTGGACGGCACACAGCATATGTTATTGGCAGTAGGTGTCACTATACACATGACGGGAATCATTCCTAATCAACTGCTTGCATTAGAACTGATCCTGAAACCCCATGTGTTCACTGTGGTGATTCCTCACCACCTAGAGACAATGTCTAACCATATCTGTTTAGTTCTGTTCTTACATAATGGGCATTTACTGAGCAGCTACTATGAGCTAGATATGGTGCCAAGGACAGGTGACCTCCCTCGCCTGTCATTCCTTCCTTGCCAGTTACCTGCCAGGATCTCCTAATTCTGCTCAGTGTCATCTGACTTCTACAGCGGCCTACTCACCTTCCTACCTCCATATCATGTCCCTGTTTATCCTAATCGTTGCTCCCTCAGTTGAAGCCTTTTCGTCTCCGATGGTCTCCCTGTAGCTGCTTCATCAGGTCCAGATGCTCATCCTGGTATCCAAAGCCATACTCTACCAACCCGATCTCTTACCATCGTCCAAAGAAGCCCTATTTCTGTGGATAGCATCCTGTCACCACAGTGAAAACGGCAGGTTGTGGAGTCAGGCCTCACTTCAGCTCCAAGCTCCCTGACATCACAAAATGTGTGACCTTCAGCAAATGATTTAACCTTCCTAAGCCTGTTTCCTCATCTGCATAATGGTGTGGATGATAATATTATGTGAAATTGTCAGTATTCAGCTGTTTTGTTTTTTAATTCTTGCCCGAGGATATTCTTATTGATTTTAGAGAGGGACAGGGAGAGGGAGAGGAAGAGAGAGGGGGAGAGAGAGAGAGAAACATCAATGTGAGAGAGAACATCAATTGGTTGCCTTCTGTATGTGTTCTGACTGGGGCTAGAACCCGAAACCTACAGAAAGGGCAGTTTCATATGCTTCAACCTAATCATTCCCGCCTCTCAGGATTAGGGGGATATATAGGGAGGTTGGAGACCAGGTAAGGGAAATAGCGAAGTGATTTCTGGGGAAGACCTTTTCCATTTTCAAGTCCCCACGGCTCCCTTTGCACTTGCAAGCCCAGGCTTCATAAGAGGGTTCCAGAAGGCTCTGAAATGTGTGTGCTGAGGAGACACGTGCCAACACACTCCCAGGAAATCTGTGCTCCCGGAGGTGGGTTGTTTATACTCTTCTGAGTTGGGGTTCTCTGAGAACACCCCAGGTTGCAGGAGGACTGGTGGACTCAGCACGTAGCTGTGCTCACTGCCATGATTTATTACCGTGAGAGGATGCAGAGCAAGATCAGCACAGGAAGCAGCATGGGGTGCAGTCCAGGGGAACCAGGCCCAGCTCCCAGTGTCCCCTCCCTGTGGTTGCCCAGGACGCGCTGAACTCCTCCATTCACGTGTGAAATGTTGCCCGCCAGGGAGGCTCCGTGCTCAGGGTTTTCAATGGGGCTCGCTGCATGAGCACCCTCTGCCTTCCACAAATCCAATTCCCCGACTCCCGAGGGGGAAGCAGGTGGTCAGCATCATCCATGCTGCTTATACAAACAGTTTAGTCACAGGGAGCCACTGATCAGTTTGGAGTGGTGGGGACCCTCCCGAGATCCAAGTTCCCAGATGCCAGCCGAGGGCCAACCTTGGAAGCAGGCCTTTCTGGGGACGCAGTCTCAGGCTTGCTATGTCAGCTCCTTCCTGCACATGCTCCTCATTCCGAGGGGTTTTGACAGGCAACACCTGCTACACTCGTTCCAAAGGTGCCAGTGGCTGCCTTTTCCTGCCTTTAGCTGCCTGTGTTTACTGTCATTAACCAGGGTAGGTTGGATTGTCTCGGCTTCACTGAGGCCGAGGGCTCATGCGTAAGGCAAAGCGCTACATGCCTGCTGAGAGGAGGGCGGCGTGAGGAAGGCGGGAGAGAGGCAGAGTCTTCCGGGAAGGGGCCTCCTCACTGCTTGGCACCTCCCTAGTGATCTCTCCACCTGGGAACCCCGGCTCTTCCTTAATCAGATGACCAAAAAAGTAGAATGAAAGCTCTTTTTCCTCTTTTCAGCCTTAGAGTTCTCCATTTAATCTGCTCTCTGGACTGCCCATGCTCTGCTATACCTGCTGGCTCCCAGCTCAGTCGGTCACGTGGATCCCACTGTGCTGCTCTGGTGTTTCTTTCTTCTCGAGTTTGACTCCAGGGCCCTGAAAGTACTACTCAGGACAAAGGACATGTGTACATTTTTGAAATTTGTCCTGATTGCGTGCTTCCACAAGAGAATTTCTGCTTAAAACCACATCGACACAAGAATGAGAATGCCAAATCAGAGACAGGATAGTTAATTGTACCAAGAAATGGTACCAATGCTGAAACTGAATGGGCAAACCAGAAAAAAAAACTAGACAGACAGGCCCAAGAAACAGGAAATAATGAAAGATCTATCAGTCAGCAGGTCACTGAACTGGATGGATAAGAAAGGCTTTGAAGAATGCCGAGTGTGTTGGGGTCAGGGCAGGTGGGAGCTCAGAAATACAGAGCAGACAAAACAGGACATTTTCTAAGAATTAATCTAGCCATCCAGAAAACAATAAGGGGGCAGGTGTTCAACGATGTAAGAGAGCACCAGCAATAAAAGATAGATAAATTGGGCTTCATTAAAATTAAGAGCTTATGTTCATTAAAAGACGGCAGTAAGAGTGCACAAGGCAAGCCAAGACTGGGGAAAAAATATTCACAACACATATTTTCAAGAAAGGACATATCCAGAACATAAAAAGAAATCCTGTGAATCAAGAAGAAAAAGGTCCAGCCCTAAATTCTCAAGACGAGAGAGTTTATTACACTGATCTTCTTTGTTGCCGGATCGCACAGCCATTTTAAGTTAGAAAATGCAATAAGATAATGACTACTATAGAAATGCACTTTGCT